AGCTTATGACTCTGGGAAAATTCCCTCCCGGGCCCCGAAGGCGACCAGCCGAAGCCTGAGAGTAAATAATATGTTTACAAACCATTTAAAGGTGGGTGGGATGGGTTGCTCAACTGCTTAATCAAAATGGCAGCCCAACACGAGGTAGCTTGGGGCTAACTAGCCCCGAAATCTCGCCACTAACCTCATGAGACTTTAACTCTCATGAGATCAGCATGCGAGGTCTCAGTCCGATTGGCCGAGCAGACCGGTAAGGGTGGGACTTCCAGTCCACTCTTCTAATCCCGCATCGATGCCCTTATATGGGTCGGCGCAACAGAGGACCCCTCCCAAAGAGTCAGGGGGGTATCTTTTCCTATTTATTTCCCTTCAGTGACTTTACTGCCAAATCACCACAGCTTACCTCCACACATCCAACTTTAAAGCAAGGAAACCTTCTCTAAACAAATCTTGTCAAGAAAACCCTGTGATAGGGTTGCCATAAGTCAGGAACAACTTGAAGGCACCCAACAACAACAAATGGTTCCAGACATTCCATAATTATGGTGTCTTTTTGTTTTTAAGGGTTGCTGACAAATGAATAACAATAATAATTATCCGAGGAGCAAAACAGTAAAATATAATGAATAAATTAACAACAGCTGTAGCACAAGGATATTTTTCAAAATTGCCGTTTGCAAATGCACCACCATTCTCACTAAATTATTCCCATGTTAGATATTACTAGCTTATATCGCAAAATTCCTTTAATATAAAGTTTGCCCATCCACCTTTAACATTCCTTATTTAATTCCTCCCTGTAATGTACCAATTGCAAGGAAAACTTCATTCCATATATTTGTTTCTAGCTGTTCATTTTTCCCGCCTCAGTGAATATATGCATTTTACTTTGTGTACCAGAGCACTGACAGATGAGTCTGCATGCAGCACAGATATACATAATTATGCATTTAGATATGTATGCCTACATATTTAGTCAATACCGTACTTGTGGAACACCTCTTTTATTGTACTACAGTAGATATTTCCCTTAAGAGTCAGCTTGGTATAATGGTTTGAGAATTGGACTATGACTCTGGAAACCAGGGTTCTAATCCCCAGTCAGCCATGGAAATGCACTAAGTGATCTTCGGCAAATCACACCCTCTCAGCCTCAGAGAAATGTATGGACAAACCCCCTCTGAACAAATCTTGCCCCAAAATACCCTGTGATAATTTTGTCTGATGATTGTTATAAGTTGAAAACAACTTGAAGGCACACAACAGCAACAAATATTTTGCTACAGATATTTCCCTTCCTGGTGACAAGGATCATGTCACTCCCTTGCTGAAACAGTGACAATGGCTACTGATCCATTTCTGGACAGAATTCAAGGTGCTGGTTTTGATATTTAAAGCCCTAAACGGCTTGGACCAGAGACTATCTGAATGACCATATCTCCCTATAAAAGCCCACCCAAACACTAAGATTGGCAGGAGAGGGCTTCCTCTCAGTCCCACCACCTTTGCAAGTACGGTTGGTGGGGACTTGAAAGAGAGCCTTCATGGCTGCTCCGAGACTGTGGAACGCCTTGCCACAGGAGGTCAGGTTGGCCCCTTCCCTGATCTCTTTCCATCAGCAGCTGAAGACATTTTTATTTAGGCAGGCATTTGGTGGGTAGATTTTATTTGAGTAATATGGTGTGCTGTTTTAATGTTTAATGATTTTTGCTGTTTTGAACTATGCTGTTTTTAGTCTCTGTTTTAATGTTAGTAGTATTTAATAATTTTTTAACGTTTGTAATCAATGTTTTAGTGTTGTCTTTTTTAATATATTGTAACCCACCTTGAATCCCACTGTGGGAGAAAAGCAGGATATAAATTCTGGAAATAAATAAATAAATAAATATTTCCTAACACCAGTTTAACCCTTAAAGAGAAAAACAATATAACACTGGCTCATGTATGTTCA